ATTAAGTAATTGATTATTCCTTAATTAATAGGTTCCTCAGTCATAGTAGTCAAACGTTGTCTATGGTTCAAATGGATTAATCATAGCTTGATCATTATCGGTTCTTTTAACTCAAGGTTAATAATATTCCCTAAAAATATTAATTATTTTTTCCCTCTTTTTTATGTGGGGCAGCATTAATTAATGCACAAATTACTAGCCTTTTTGGCCAGATTTTCACATAATGATATACTTTTCTAAAAGTAGTATACTACTTATAATATAAAAACCTCAAAACAATTTCCAAACAAAAGCTTAATTATTCTCCAACTTGCTACCTCAAGTATCATCACTCTCCGACAACAATTTCATTATAATAATTCCATGGCAGCAGAAATGTCGTCTGATATTGTTAAATTAAAGCTTAGGCAATAAATGTTGGTAATAGAATCTGACTTTACCTCTTTATTTTAATTCTTTGATTATGATGTGCCTAATTGACTGTTCCTCTTTTCTTTCCCCTTTTTCTTTTCTTTCGTTGTGGTCAACAAATGTGAGTGTAGAACATTTCTTTATATTGCAAATAAAGTTTAGAATCTAGATATGAAGAGTCAATCACGTTGTTCTTTTCTTCATCATGCTTTGAAATATATGACAATTTTGACCACAAAGACCACCTTACCATTTTTTAATTAGCCTCATTTCTTATGAACTTCAAAAACGAAAAATTGTGCTCAATTATTAATTTCAGATTGTGATTTTTTCATATCGATTTATTTGTATGAAAAGTTAATTGTATATCGATTTTTTTTTTTTTAAAAAAATAAAAGTTTTAAGTAGTTAGTGCTAAAGCTTGTGACTTTTTTCATATTTAAATAACTAGATATTAGCCAATACTACTTTATACTTTGACTCGCTAGTAGTGAAAATAAGAATAATTTTAAGAATAGAGTGAATACTATTTGGAAAGAAGTCAAATATAATTTGAACAACATACACAAAGTGCTGTTTGATTATTGAAAAAGAAAATTTTCACAATTGACAAAAAAAATCGAAATATTTGAGACGATCAGAAAATAAGAGGATCTAATTCAGTTATGAAATATGGCTTGGAAAACATATAATGGGGCAAAAAGTCGTGCACGAAATTCATTAACATAAAATTTGACGCCGAAATAAGGGATGGCAACTTTCTTGTAGCATGCTAGTATTTTTTGTGACAAGAAAAGAAAAAGGCACCGACAGTAAAGCAGTAATTATCAAGCAACTGCTCAATTGCTCAGTCTGATTTAATTACGTACAAAAAATAAAGGTCTAAAGATATTTTTAATCTACTTTATCTAAATAATTAGAGAGTAGAAACGAGCCGCATAATCCAAACAAGCAACCCTGGCTCTATCATTTGGCTCTTTTCTCCTTTGCATTATTCCCCCTCTTGCACATTCTTTTCCATTTTGTTCTTTCCTTAGGAGGTCAATCGAGTGATCAAAATGGCTCAGTTCGACTCCGTGATAGAGTTAGGAATTTTTTTTTTAATTTCCAACAAATAGCACCGGATCCGGCTCCGGCTCCGCTCCTGTATAGAATCTCTCTAATTTCAGCCTAATTTAATGACATATGTCATTTTTCAAATCTAAAGGCCAAGAAATCAATCTCTAAACTAGGGTTAAAATTAAATATTCCTATAATTTAGCCTTTCCTTAAATCTAAAATCCTTTACTTACATGTAGGGGTATACATAGGTCGGATTGGTTCGAATTTTTTAATTATCAAACCAAACCAATGTGTCGGATTTTTAAATTTATAAACCAAACCAAACCAACAAAGTCGGGTTTTTCAATCTCGGGTTTTTCGAATTTTTTTCGGTTAAGTTTTCATAGCATAAAATATGTAACTTGTGCTCCAAATATTTCTTAAGTCCTAGTAAAATTCAACTATATAATGTATTTTCCAAGAAACTAACACAATAATATGAGATAAGTCATAGCATTATACTAAAATATTCAATAACAAAGATAAAATAATAAAATTACATAAAATAAATATTGTTAATTAATAAGCCATAATAAAAATTAACATAATCTAAAAATACTATATAGGTCATGCTAAAATAAATATAGCTAATAAGTACTAATATTAATTACATAACTAAGCACTAAAGAAAAAGATAAACTTAGTTATGCATTTTTATTATAAACCAATATAAAACTAAAATAATTATCCGACACTATCGTCATTCATAGTATTGAATTGAATTTCTTTTGTTAGCATTAGTATTGATTTGAACTTTGTTTGAGTTACTACATTATGGGCTTTAAAATTTATTTATCATTCAAGAATGTTAAGTCAAAACTTGAAATAATACATTAAAAGATAAAACTGTAAAAAAGTTTAAGAAATATTTATAAATTACATTACAATAAATATTTATATGTATAAAATATTTTTAAAATTTATATAAATATACTATCGGGTTGGTTTTGTTTCGGTTTGACTTTTTTTTAGTTAAAACCAAACCACAACAATTATGGTCGGGTTTTATTTTCCAATACCAAACCACATCGATTTTTTATTCCAGTTTGACTCGGATTATCGGTTTGGTGCAGTTTATCGGTTTCTTCTTACACCCCTATTTACAGGGATAGTGGGATACGGTATCAGCAAATCAAATCCTTTCATGGATTTTTTATTTTTACTATTCTTTCATGAATCAAATCTCCAAATTGTTAAACTTTTTTCTCCCCAAATTCTAAATTCCTTCAAATGAGATATTATTTTCTTAGGCATCGTAACTTTTTTATTTTCACAGGGACAATTTCATTTGTGTTCTTCCACCTTTTTTGTTTCTTAGAAACCAAATAAATAGATTTTTTTTTTGTAGCAGGCAATTGGTTGCATTGATAAATTTTTTTGATTGAAGTTAATGTGAAGAAGAAATAACGAAAAAGGCAAATTGTTAATTCAGAAGAGGAAACTTGAATACAAAAATATTTCAATAAGGTTAATATTGAATCATATTACATATCTGGATGAAAAAGATAGTTTCTCTATTATTGCTTAAAGGAACTAACAACATCGTACCAATTAGAAATGGTCAACATAATAATTTATAATAGCAAGCTGGTACTAAATTATTGTAATGTCACGATCTAATTTAGGATTATGACCGGCACTTAGGAGCAAGTACCCCTAAGTAAGCCTCATCAATATTTTACGGGAAAATCGGACAGAGTTTTCCCTATTTTAGGACCATCCAAAATAAACCTGTCTTAGAATCAACAACACGATCAACCAATATCACCAAAACGAATTATAATTCTCATCAACGAAGTATTTCCAACACAATAATACTAACTCTAACTCCAAAAATACGATAAAAAAGTCTAATACGAATCGCAAGTTTATATCAATAAAAAAATATTCATGACACTAATAAAAATGACTATGGAGCGACTCTAAACTCCATAGTACTGGACATACAAATTCCAACATATGTGTGTTACAGGCTTACAGCCTTGATGCAAAAATAAAAGCTCAATTCACAGCGGAGAATGCCAAACTTTTCTAAGCTCCTTTGAGCCTTAATATCATGTGCTACCAAACTGCCTTAAACAATACTTCTGGCGCTTGGTTCCGCTTTTTTATTGCGTACAACCTATCAAACAAATCAAGTTATAATATCAGAAAATAACAATTATAATGAAGCCCACATTTGAATTTTGATATCATAGTCTACTTGCTGATCAATTTGGCATTGAGGAGAATTTGGAAATGAAGTCTGATTTTTCCTCTTGGCTTTTTCCATAAAACTCTTTAGTCTAATATTAGAACGACGAGTTGGTTGCTTTCTTTTTAACCCAGTCACCTTCGTGATATTTGTATTATCAACAAATACTATCTCATTTGGCTCATTTTGAATAACATTGCTTGGAATTGACTTTTGAGATTCTTTTCTCTTTTTTACATCCTTTAACTTTGCAATTATCTCATTCGCATAATTTGCAACCAATATCCTTCGATAGATTCTGAAGCTTCATTTGAAATCTGAACAAAAGTTTGGCATATATGTTTATACCTCGCAGTAACTTCAACTTTTGGATCAGTTTCTGTTTACCCTAAAATTCGAGTAACAATTAAACTTATTTAGTGATTTTAAGGATACATGATTTAATCCAATACCAATTGATAAATAAGGAACTGAGTAGATAATCTGAATAGTAAAATAAATCAAACCAGTGTTTTAGCAGTGCTTTCGACCTCGATTCGGGATGGTCTTGAGGTTGAGTAAGAAGAACAGTAAAGAACAAAAAATAAACAATGATGAACAGTAATAGATAGAGAGAAATAGAGAGCAATATTTTTGTATATGTTTTTCAGTGAATCAATCCCCCTTACAAATGAGTGGGATCCCTATTTATATAGTAGATGAATCCTAAATAAGGTACAATTCTAATAACGGAAACAAATCCTATGATTGGCGTTAATAACCGCTTGATTCGATCTGTTCCGGGATTTCCGCCGAGATCTTCAGTCGGTTGCTAATATTTCGCCATTCCGTTATTATGCTTTACTCGAAGTCGGTCATGCTCGGTCTCGATCTTCAGCGAGCATTTCGATCTTCATGCTCCATACTCTGCCATTGAGCTCGAGCCTGGTCTATTACGAGCTTTCTCTCGAGGCAGCTCCTCGTGCCTATGAAATCTGACATGCCCGATTTCGACCTTATACAGTTTCCTTTGCTACCAAAATGACATCCATCTTATTCAAGTTTGTAGCCTCTTTTGTCCACATCTTTAGTATATATTGTTCATGTAATAACCCGAATTTTTTTTATATACTTATTAATTATGAGATTAGAGAATTAATGTTTATTCATAGCTATTGGGTCAACTATTAACTTAGTGGGAGAAATTTATTATTAATATATAAAATAGTGTATTAGTTAATTTATTAGTGGGCCAATTAATATTATAGAGGGATAGTTGGATAATTCTGGGCCCAGCCACCCCAAATTGTTGCTCTCGTTTTAGAGAGTATTAGGGCAGTGGAGTAAGAGAGCATTGTTCCAAATTGCTGCTCACGTTCTTGGTTCACAAACACGTTCTTGGTTCACAAACACATAAACAAACACATTGGGTGGTTGAAGCACATCAGAGAGCTGCTATTTGTGAAGATTCTTCATAGCTTTATATGGTTCAGGTACAGATGCTATGTTGTATGTACTTTTAATTAAATGTTGGCAAGTAATTATGGAGAAATATAGTGTAGAAGTTAATTAAGATGCCATAATTGAAAGTAATTATTAGGTAATGATTATATTGTAATTATTATAATAATTAAGGGATTAAGGATATGTTTCATTGTATAGTTTTTGAGGAAAAGAATTACTGACTTCTACAGCTACAAAGTCCCGATTTTTACGGTACTAGATTGGACTTTCAGTGATTAAGTAATGATTAGCCCATAATTTATAAATAAAGTAATGATGATTCAATAATTAGAATGGTTTATAATGAGATTGGGTGGATTAAGGCATTGTCATGCATTCTACAACTGCACTGCTGCGGCATTCATGTTCTGCGTTTGCTAATTTGTACAGATTTTTAGTAATTTGATCGGGGGTTAGACTTTGATTTTGATTTGTTCTAAAATTATGAAAATATTTCACCTAGACTAATTAGGACGTGTTATTCAATATTTTAAATAGATTGAGGCCATTGGAGGCCGTTTGGTTGGTGTTCTAGGCGTTGCAAGGTTGGGGAACTTCCCGTTAGCGAGGTAAGTGAGACTTTAAACTTTGATGCTTGCTTTTTCAAAACCTGTTTTGAAAAATATTTTGTCTGTCTGGTCCATGTGTTAGGACGAGCTTGCGCTTGGCAGAATCGGTGGTTTTTGACCGGCCGCATATATATATTATTTTGTAAAAAGCTAAAACTATTTAATAAGTGATTTATGATATGGTGTGATGTGGCGTAGCCTCGTGCTATGGCATTGGGGCGTTAGAATTTATTTCTTCTCTACCGTAATATATTTGGAGCATTGTGTATGCCGCCGTGATAAATTTGGGGCATTGTGTATGCCGCCGTAATATATTGGGGCATTGTGTATGCCGCTGTGATAGATTTGGGGCATTGTGTATGATGTCGTGGACTCGTTAGAGTGTTTGGTTAATTTCCTACACTGCCATTAATGACAAGTCCTTAGTGTAGATTGAGTTGAGATATATATAATGTTGTTGTTGAATAATTATTTGGGCCTTATAGAGTAATTATATGGTGAAAGAATTTCAGTGCTCGTTGTGTGTTTGTATTTTCTAACACTTGTTCCAGGGGTATTTAAAGTGGCGGGACAAGGATCTTACTGGGTTATATTTACGTATAACTCACTCCTTACCTGCATGTCTATGCAGATACTATTGGTGAAGACGGAGCTAGTAACTGACAAGTTCGCTAGAGTTGATTCAGTAATTGAGGTGAGCCGTCGCATTGTTCGTGGAGGCTGCCAAAAGAGTCTTTATTATTTATTCACATGATGTCTTTCGCAATTCTCTTAGATGCTCCATGGTCTAGTGTAGGATTTGGGTTAGAGTTTCAGTATTATATTTCGAGATATTAATTGTTCGTAATGGTTATCAGATTATGTGGATACTTATTTAATTAATCAAATATTGTAAATCAATGGCTAAGGTATGAAAGTATGATTCGCCTAGCGGGTGGTATTAGTTGGGTGCCAGTCACGTCTAAGAGGTAGTTTGGAACGTAACAGTTCAAGAATCATATCCTTTACATTTAGTATGTCCAAGATCTTTAAGGCATGTCTACATAGTATACTCATAAACTCAAACAGTTTGCAGCTGCAAGAAACTCCAGTTAATGATCGCTTAACAGTTATTATGTGCTCCTTAACACTTCCATGAGTGCTAATATTATATGTACACAATTCCCCTTCATCATTGGAGCTTTTATATAAACAAGGATCTTTCCCACTCATTTTAAAACGTATCAAATATAGTTGGGGTATATACTTCCCTAGCATGAACCAATAAAGGAAATTTAACCTTTAAAATAGATATTCTTTAAGTCATACAAAATTTGGTTTATTCTCATTGGCACGCTTATCATCAACTGATCTTTGAAAATGCTTAAATAATTATACAATATCTAGATTAGATTTCGAATATCCCCTTAAAGATCCATTGAAACTCTCACTCAATTGTGTGATGCGCATACCTGCTGAGAATGTATTTCTTCCATATGTCATGACCCATTCCTCCCTTATAGCAAATGTATTTTTCAACCAACTATTATCCCAAGGTCATATTTCTCTAGCATTTCCTGCCATGCACTTAAAAAATCCTCTTCATACTCATAATCCTAAAGCAATTTGCTAAAATCTCCTGAAAATGATGCATGGGCTCTAAAGACATGATTTAAATGCTTGAATGCATTCTTTTCCAAGTGCCATATACACAAGCGATGATATGTCTGTGGCATTATTAATGAGACAACAAAAGATATAACGAAATCTTGATCTGTGATAAATGTTTGTGGTTTCTCTGCAGACATATTCTTAAAGAATGCATTAAAAAGCCACTCAAAAGATTCAGCAGATTCTTCATATAGAAGGGTTGCACCAAATATGACCATTTCCCTATGATTGTTCAAACCAACAAATAATGCCAATGATCGGTATTCTTTATTTGTTCTATATGTTGTATCAAAGGACACAACATCTCCATAAATCTTAAAATCTCTTATCATCTTTCCATCTGCCCAGAAAATATTAGTTATCAAACCTCCATCATCTAATTGTAAAGAAAATCGAAAAGCAAGATCCTCTAGAGTTCGTTTCTCAAAATAATTCACCAAGCTACGAGCTACGTCATGTTTCAAACTATCTGTTTTTTTGTAACGAAGATAATTCTTATGATTTCTCTTACTGTAGCCTAGAAAATATTATCCTCCGGCTTGACAACCAGCATAATCAAATGAAGCTTTAGGACGTATCCCTGAATCGTCTAATAAGTCAATTTCATATGCTTGAGCCATTTTTATCTATTTGTGATTGCAACAGATGAACTAAAGATGGAGGAACAAGAGGATGGTTATGTTTCTCTTCGAATGAAGTTATGCGAAACCTCCCATTTGATTGACGGCTAACAATAACATGAGCCAAGCAACCGGTTCTAGTTTTCTTTATATGTGTTTGAACAGTAGGATCTCGTTTGTCTTTACCTCTGTAACCTTCTTTATAACATATTAATTTTCTTGAAGTCACATACCCGAGTACTCTATTTTTCTTTGCATATTCTTTTCTAACATTAAAATCAATTGCAGCTGCGTATTCATTATAACAATCATATGAATGCTCATCTTAATCAAATTCCATGACAAGTTTTATTGGCACGTTATATCCACTTTGAGAGTCATTAGATATCTCCATAAATCTACATTATAAAAAATATGAATATGACAAATAATTTGTATTCTTAAATTTTGGAAAAACTTGAAAAAATCAAATAATGAATTACAAGACATGGGGTCATCTGCAATCTTATTCATAACTTTTAACTTTTTTGAATCTTTTTCACTTCGAAACTAAGATTGGAAGTCTATACAAGGTTGAATAGAGTCTAATTTTCAAGTGATAAATATAGAGCAAACTGCTATCATGTTGCCTTTTGTGTTTGAAAGTAGGCATAGCCACTAGGAAGAAACATGTTCTTCTCGATCAACATTTTGTGAAACAGTTTGTAATCTTAATTATTCAACTTGTTATGTGTGTTTAATGAATGCATTTTCTCATATTGTTAAATATTGATTTCCTACTTTATTCTCAAAAGTTTAGTTGAGACATATTATCAAGCACATCGTAGACATTTTTTAACACGGGCAATTTGACACTACCAAAATCACAAGAGGTTTAATTTAACACTACAGAAATCACAAGAGATGTAAGATTGAAGAAGAATCTATTTTGTTGCCGTCGCTCTTTGCCCACAATAATATTTTGCTCAACAACTTCTTTCGTGTTTGTTACGACCCAAAGTATCACATGTCGTGATGATGCCTATCTCAATACTAGGCAAGCCGACAATCTAAATAACTCACCATATCTTTTAAGTTTTATAACATAATATTTAAATTTAACGGAAAAAATCTCATAAATACAGATATAATCACTCCCAAAATCCAATGTCAACGAGTAGATGAACATCCAATATGAATACAAAGTCTGACTGATAAAACACCGTCTGAAAGTAAAGAACACTACAATAACTGAAGAAAGAAAGTCAAGGTCAGCGGACTCCAGGCAGCTACCTTGATAGTCTCCAACTGATACCACTCTGATATCTAACAGTCGCCGTGTCTGTAAGCACCTGGATCTGCACACGAGGTGCAGAGTGTAGTATCAGTACAACCAACTCAATAAGTAACAAGACTAACCTCTGGGCTGAAAATAGTGACGAGTTTCGCAGGTACATTCTAGTATAAATAATAGTACAAAAATGTAGGCATGCTTTCAAGTTCAACATTTAAACTCAATACAAGTGAAATAGATCAATACTGCATGATATGAGGAATATGTCATCTCAGTGGAAAGACCTCATGTAATACTGGTCACAAATTATTTGGTCACTCGGTACTGTTTATAGCCAATCCAGCCCAGGGATATTCCATCCCGTATATATATACACATCGACTGACAGTCAGTCACTTAGTACCGTATAAGGCCAATCCAGACACTCAGTTACTCAGTACCGTAAATGATACGGACAAGATCCATGTCCAGGGAAAACTTTATCACAATACAAATAAGTAAGGGAAGTCCATGCCCTAGGAAGTCCATCCCGAATATATAATCATCTACGCTCACTGGGGGTGTGTACAGACTCCGGAGGGGCTCCTTCCGCCCAAGCGCTATATAAAGCCGATATGGCCTACTCCGGCATGCAGTACGATCCCATAATAATAATAATAAAGAATATAAGGCATGCTGCAGGCGGACAACTCTGATCCATATAATAGTAAAGCCTATAAGGCCTGCTGCAGGCGGGCAACCCCGATCAATATAATAATAATTTATATAAAGCTAATATGGCATGCTGCGACGCACAACTCGATCCCATAAATATCCTCACAATTGATGAATATGACTGAGTATGAAATGTACATTTTTAAAATAATTAATTTAATAGCAACACGACTCCATGGGTCCCAAAATATCAGCACGTAGCCTAAACGTGATCTTCAATAAGAGCCTCAGCTCAATTTCTCTAACACGTGGGAAATGTTTAGACAATAACATGATTCTTTATTTTTTACAGCTTCACATAATTTATTCAAGTCACAATTTCAATGGTTCACGTCCACACGCTCATTCGGGGATTTATACCCTCAGAACTAAGTTTAGAAGTGTTACTTACCTCAAACTGTGTAATTTCTTACTCCGCTATCCCCTTGCCTCGAGAATTGGTCTCCGAAAGCCTCGTATCGAGCCACAATTAATTCGTTTCAGTCAATACAAATTATAGGAATCAATTCCATATGAAAATATAAATTTTTCCACAAAAATTCGAAATTTAACTCAAAAATCGCTCGTGGGGCCCATGTCTCGAAATCCGAAGAAACTCACAAAATCCCACAACCCATTCAATTATGAGTCCAACCATACTAGTTTTACTCAAATCCGACTTCGAATCGACATTCAAATCCCCAAAATTAATTTTATGAATTTTCTACAATTTTCCCCAAATTTTCATCTTAAAATACTAATTGAATGATGAAAACAATGATATATTCATGTATATTAACTAAATCTATGTTAGAATCACTTACCCCGATGAATTTCTTGTAAAATCCACAAAACATCGTCACAAACCGAGCTTCCAACGTTCAAATGTGAAATAATATCCTAACCCTCGGTTATATAGTACCACGTCTGATCTCCCAATGTGCAGTCCGCACATTTTCAAGTGCTATGAGAACATTTCCATGTTCTGCGGCCGGAATCCAAATTGTGCGGCCGCACTTTAACTGCGGTCCGCACATCTTCAAGTGCGGTCCACACAATTCATACTGCCCCAGCACTTGGGAGTTTGCGGCCGCTCTTTTGCACTCTAAAATGTGCCCTCCGTACTTCAATTGTTCCATAACATCATCAGAGTGCCGAAATGCCCGGACTCGCTCAAAACTCACATCGGAACTCATTCGAGCCACTCGGGATCCCATTCAAATATACCAATAAGCCCTATAACATAATACTGACTTACTCGGGTGTAACGACTCGGCCGGTCGCTTCGAGAATTATAACCCCATTTCTCCCATTTCTACTTCTTTTTGTATTACTCATCTAGATTGTGTTATACCGGATTAGTCAGTTCGGGTCCGGAGTAGTTTCAGAGTGAATTGAGACACTTAGTCTCTAAAGTAGAAGCTTAAGTTGGAAAAGTCAACTGGACATTGACTTATATGTAAATGACTTCGGATTTAAATTTTGATGGTTTCGTTAGCTCCGTTAGGTGATTTTGGACTTGGGAGCGCGTTCGGAATGAGATTTGGAGGCCCGTGGTAGAATTGGGCTTGAATTGGCGAAAGTTAGAATTTTGGCGAT